TTGAAGTTAATCCTTATTTTAAAATTAAAAATAGGACTAGCATTTGTAAATTTTTCATATGGTAGTAGCACTTGACACTTATAAGTGATTAGTCTGGTCAATCACTAAGAAAAACTTTAATGGTATGGCGATACCTACAAACTGGAAAAGGACACTTGTCTACAGTTACATTTATTAAAGTAAACTTTTTTCCGAAAAGCCACTCGTTTAATGTCCCTTCAGCTAGCATTTTTCCTCTTGGCTTATGCTTTTCTGCCTTCGTCGTGGTTTTTATAATTACCAAGGTGTCTGTAGGAGCCTCGAAACTTTTCTCTCCTTTAAACAGTACTAATTTAATGGACTTTTAATTGTTGACTGTTGTACTTGGATTTATGTCCGTGAATTATGACCTACGCAGTCAGTACTCCGTAAATGTTAATACTACTACCCCTTTTTCCTCTGAAGACTTGACATCTTCTCTCTGTCGAGGTTACTAAGAAGTCTATTTTTAGTTGATTCCGGTAAGGGACTCCTGATCAAAGGTATTGGACCTGACCTTCCCTTGGATCGAACCAGAGTGTCTCTTATACCCAGGCGCTGTTATATAAGGGTTTTAGGTAATCATTAAATGTAATGTGCGGTTATTCTTCCTATCAGCCAGCGTGGGCTTCAGTCTTTTATTTTGGAACGGTTATGGGCTACACTAGTTTGGCAGTACTGTTATGCCCTAGTATTGTTAATCTATAGTGCGTTCTTTCACTAATTGTCAAATGTAAATTTTTAGTCTGTTCGATTTCGTAATGCCTCTACAACCCATTTAATAGCAGTCACCCTTTCATGTTGGGTTTGCAGTGCATTTCTAAGTTAGGTTGTTGGGTTACAAGTAGAGGTAAAATTTGTCGGGAAACTGGACAAATACTTACTGACGCAGGTCTTAGTTATATGATGACCTGCCACTGGATTAATCAAATAAAGCGCTAAACCGACAAGGGTCGTGCAGCATCCGCCACTAGAGCTTTTGGTCATCTGCCAGTTAGTTTTTTACTATATGCATAACAAAAATAAAACTATATAGTCAGCCTCGCGAACAGAAAACGGAGCCACTGCGAGGTGTTGTAACAATCGTATCTCAACTGTTCAAGACGCCGTTAATTAACAACCACCGATTTGACTGCTTATGTGCCACGATGTCTGTGGGTCAGAGGCCTGACTTGTCTTTAAGAAATAATTTTTTTTTTTACTTTGTTTATATTTTATATCTGTGAGCGCTGAGTTACCTACGAAGTTAGTGCTCCATAAATGTCAAACTACAAATTATTACCCCAGGTTTAGTTTTGTTATGGCTGTTATAAGCGAGGTTGTCTTGATGGGTTTAAAGTTTTGCAATAAAGTTGTGCTTTGTAAACAGAACTAAGAAAAAATTCTTACATTCTCCTACAGTTATTCATATTTATTTCCTGTAACCTAAATCTGCCTGACAAGTTAACCTTTAGTACTGTTACATTTTGAAGTAGATTTACTAGATTACATAGCTAAATTAATTTATACCTTTATATAATGATCACGTCAAGACATTGACAAACTACAGGAAGATTTGTGGCATTTCATTGTAATACCTTGGTGCTAAAGATTTATGTGACCTAGTTTGCAGAGCACCTTGCCTTCACCCTTTTATCACTTTAAAACTCCTGCCACTCCCATCACTCTTAAAGAATGTAAGGAAGACACGCAAGGTGCTCAAAGTTATCCAGGCCACTGGGACAATATGAGCACTGACACACGCAGCACCAAACTCGACCAGTAATTTTCACGTTTTAACTGGTTATTCAGCATTTTTAAAATATAAACTAAAAAGCGATGCCTTCTCCACTCGTCACACTGGAAAGGGTATATCAAAGGGATCCATAGGCCATATTCAGAAATTTTATTTGTGTACTTTCCTGCACGGGAAGGGCATACGTCTGTACTCTTTAAGGATTTTTTTTTTATTTGGATTGATTAGTTAAGAGATTCCAGGAATAAGATAAACTGCTGCTGCTCCCTTCCACCACTTTAGTATAGGTTTTCCTTTAAAGACCTGTAATACATCAGCTCGTTAGAGTATGTGAGGATTGAATTCGAAATTCAAAGAGAATGGTGTTTAGTGGTATCGAATCTTTAAAAGTAGTCGTTGCGTATAATTACAGCAATGCAAGGTGCTAAATATTTGACAACGCTAAACGGAATAAGGTTGAAAGATTGTCGATTTCGTATAGGGGAGCACTAGGTTGTATATGAATTTGCTACCTTAAAGTAGGCATATAAGCAAATATTTGGTGGGTATAAATATTATTTCAATCTTTTTCTGAAAATCTCTTGTTGAATGTTAGGACTCTGTGCTTAGAAATAGGTACCTTCTGTGTTTCTTATGCTGATTAGATCTATGCCACGCACATCCCGTTTCCTCATGAATCTTAACCTTTGCCACGCATAGCTAGTAGTTGCACAAAATTCAGAATGTTAGTACTCTGTAAAGGTGATTAGGGAATTAACCTAAGTTTTCATACAATTTGTTTAACAAATTAAACACTTGTGAGCATCTTCTGTGGGACTAGTGACTGAGAATACCCCTAAATACAAAAATTTTCATTGCTAACCATTGTTAGCTATTTTTCAAGACAGCTGCGGTATTATACAGAAGGATTCCTACGGGACTCCTTTTCATAATTTTACTCTGTAGCTGGTGACCTATTTGATTCCAGAGCATAGCGCATGCGGCGTCTGGATGATCCAGGTCCACTAAAGTCTGGGTGTCCAGTGCTTGACGGCGCGCATGCAAGTGAACACTGGTGGTAATGATTTGACACCATGTACCACTGGTCATAATGTTTGGTCAGAATCGGTCTACTAACAAAGTTTAAAATGGTCATCGAAACTCGATACTTTATATAATTTACCATCTTGGTCTAAGGTAGAGATGCCTGAGCTTGTAAGTTGTGGAAAAGAGGCTTGCGTCATTGTGTAGAAAACTAGCAAGGTGTTATATAGTGTACCGCTGTACATTGTCGAACTAAAAATGTAAACAGTTGTTGCCTGGCGACATTGATTCTGCCTGAGCGCCGATTATTGCCGTTTTTTATAACTGTAAAAGTGAAATGTGCACATTGGCACACGGGGCAACAAACATTAGTTTTGGCAGATTGTACTAACACTTTAGAGTTTTTTGTAAAATACGATCAAAACTTGTAACTAACGTGTAAAAAGCAATGGAAAGCTAGTGCTCGAAATATCCTTGCCCAGCATTTTTGTGGTGGGTAGTGTAGGCCTTGGCCAAGGTCGTTGGTAGTGTGCCAAGTGTAGTTCACTGTCAAAAGTAAAGAAACAAACCCAGGTGTGGCAGCGTACCTTGGGCGTATGTCTGGTTCATCGTCATCACAAACTCCAAAGTTCAGCCGCCACCTCTGGTAAAGTGAACAATCGATAATTGGCCCAGATTATACGCAGAGGTTGTACCTGTTGCTCGACTTATTCTGGTGTTAAAGCGAACTACTAACCTTGTGTTATCTATACTCTTTAAATAGCTTCAGAGCACAGATTTGTACAGTAATTGCTATTTTTTTTTTGTCAGTATAAGGTAAAATGCCGTCGTAATGACATTTGCATAATTATCCTGATAAACAGAGTTGAAGGAATTGTTCTACTGAACTTTGTAATTTATTGCCCCCTACTGCTTGGATTTCTAATTGTGTACAAAATTAAAGGTGCAAATAGTAAGTCTGGAATTTGAAGGCTACACTGAGCACAGTATGGGAGGGGGAAGGGGTTTACTAGGTTGGATTTTTTTTTTTTTTTTTTAAGGTAGACAAGACAAATAAAAATGGTACATTCAGTACTTGGTTATTAGGTCATATCAGTTGGGTGATGTATTGGGACGGAATAAAATAGCTTCTTACACGGGTAACAAAATACGGGGCCTAATTTATTAGCTGAAATTTAAGCTGTCTAGGTTGAACATTGTAGTGGCACTAATTAGTGAGAGGGGGGGGGGAGAAGGCACGCTTAGCTAATTTTTTTAAAATTATAGCAATTAAATTTGGATAATAGTTGTTGTCATTAAGTCTACAGAAGTATGTCTTAATGCACTGTTTAAATTTAATATTTTTAAACTTTCAAGGACATTATTATGGTTGTGAAAGTTGGCAGATGAAGAGGGGGGGGAGTGTACATGGTCGAAATATCCTGTCTGCTGCCCGGGGCTAAAATTATCACTTTGAATAGCTGGCAAGGCGCCCTTTAAACATTTGCACGTGTCTGCTAGGGAATTTACTTATGCACTGAGTAAGCGACGTTTAGCCTGCCTGCAGAATTAGAAGCATAAAAATAGGTTTGAATATCTTTAAAAATATCTGAGACTAATTTTGACCACAGGGTTAAGGAAGGAGTTTTATTAAACTCCGCAGTCATTAGGTTATTGGGTATATAGTATATATACTGACCTATGAGGGATCCCACTTTTAATAGAAAATAAGTAATACAGTAGACTAGCCTAACATTATTAGGCTTTGTTTGCAGTGGTATTTAAAGTGGAAACTTTAGGAAAACTTTTCTCCAACAGTCTTTTTCAGACTTTGTGTGAAAGCGAAACTGTCAGTTTTCAATTACCGGTCTTTATAAGCTATAATGTGTAGGTGTGTTAGGACTTGTCAATTTTCCCCCAGGTATTCAGGCTATCCTTAAATTGTGTAAAAGAGGATGATGTCCCTTTTGTTTTCTTGTCCAAATACTTGTGATCCAGTGCTACATTATCTTCAACTTCAACAGTGTGAATTTTTGTTCCAGGGGTATCTGCTGGGACAGATGCAGATTTGAATTTTTTCTTGTGGGAGGGGGTGTAACACTAGGCAATTTAGGTTAGCCTATCAAACCATTATTTTAAACTCGCCCAAGTGGTCAAACTACTTAATCTCTTGCTTTCTGTTCAACAGATTTGAGCTCTGCCAGGTAATTTGTATATCAGTAACGTCCGTTCTTATCTTCGACAGCTTCGTGGCCACAGACGATTTCATCCACTACAGCAGCGCACCACGCCTCAACAGTAGTAACCCCCCAAGCATCAACACTAGTGGAAGTGTTAACAGCACAAAGAGCAACTGCAACAGCACTTGCAGCAGAGGCAGTAAAAGACCAAGACAAAGAGCTTTAGAAAGGAAGATGGCACCTGACCCAAGAGGTCAAGAAGAATCGGGTCCAGTAGGATCAATCATTGCTGGCCACAGGATTTCCCTCAATGTTCACTACGACAACGACGAAGAACTTGGTAATTAAATTTTCACAACTATTTTGCCTACTTAGTATACCTTCCCCTCCTATATTGTTTGGAATATTTTCATTTGTATGCGGACTATACCTACAGGCCTTGAGGGTGCCCCGTTTTACTACTCTAAAAAGTTTGTATATTAAACATCTAGGTTGATGAACACAATATTTCCCTTCCCATTTTTTCTTTGCTTACACATTTAAAGTATTCTTCTGTGAATAGCCTAATTGGGTAAATTAGGCTACTTTAGTTTCTACAGTGCTGTCTGAACTTAACTTCAGTGATTTCGCCTACATAACGTTTTCCAACAAGTGCTCAGTATTTTGAACATCCATGACTAAGAATTTAAATTGTCAGCATTGTGGATATGTACTTGTCAGAACTGTAGGGCAGACAGGTTGAGAAAATTTGACCTTCACTTCCTAACATTCTTAAATGTTTACTAATTTTTTGTATTTTGTATGAACCTCTTGAGTAATGAACACATTCTACAGGTGGTTCTCTACTAGATTGTTCATGTAGATTTTTAGCAGTTTTCTACCCCCCCCCCCCCCGTACCCTTTATGCTTGGTTTGCTCTGGAATGTTTCTTTTCTTTGGAATCTAGATCTTAAAATTTGGCCTTTTTAATTTTTACTTTATCTAGGCTTTCTCAGCGGTACATACCATATTCAGAAATAAGTGAACTCTGACTTTCTTTCAGTAAAGACAACAGGTGATGTTACGCCCGTCGAAGAAATGGTGGCAAATACAGGAGCTCTTCCCAGGGACACGCCTGACAGCTCCACCAGCACACAGCCTCTACTGCCAGACACACTCCTGACAGTAAATTCTAACCAGCAAGACGGAAAGATAACCCATGTTGACATGGTCATACTGGATGAAGTAAGTACAGTTATGTTTTGGATTTTAAGATTTAATGCCGCTGCTTGGCAGAGTATTGGTGTACAAATCAAGCTGATTTTGGGACTAAGAATAACAGGACAGTGTAAGGGATATTTTATTATATTTGAAAATCAATAGCCTGGTGTGTGGGGGGGGGGATGGAAAGAATGCATGTTGATTACAATTAGCTGTCAGTTACTACCACTACTGAACACTGTTCACACATGGATAGAATGCTACTTGAGTTTTTGCATATTTTAATGTTATATTCCACCACACACTTGTTAAAACTATCATTAAAATGTAATTTGGCATGTGCCAAACTTCCAAAATATGCTGAGATTGGACACTAAATTAGGATGATTGGATATCTTATTTGCTTGGAGAAAAATTTTGCAAGGTGACAGGTGAAGACAATAGCAGAGAACTTCATAGTTTTCCCTGTGGAACGACTTTCCTGTCATAGCTTTTACATGCCTAATACCTCTAAGTGTTATGTACAGGTGGTGAGAATGGTTAATAGTCTAAAGAATATTCATAATTTATTGATTTTTATAGCCGTACAAGTGAGCATGACGGTGGAGCATCCTGCTCTCATTAGTGTAGCTTTGTAAATGGTCAGTCGGGCCGAAACGTCGTCGTTAGCTCCTCTATGTGCGGGTTATTTGTGTATCAAATTGTTCCCGTCAATGAGTGCTGGGGGTGGGCGAGGGCGACATTTAGATGGAACATTGTTGGGCGTCGCCACTTGGGGGTGGTGAGCATTTTATGGGCGGTGAGAGCGAGCGAGCACGGCTTGGCGACTATGGTTTGGCGGCGGTAAGCGGGCAAACTAGAGTGGTTGGGTGGCGATGGGCGGGCGAACAAGCGAGCATGGTTGGGTGGAGATGGGCGAGCGAACGAGCGATCAAGCATGGTTGGGCGGTAGCGGTTTTTTTTTTTTTTTGAGGGCGAGAATGGTAGACAAGCTGGAGCAGTCACCTGTCCAGTGGTTAACCATCCAGTTACTGGCTCAGACTGGGGTATTACCCTGACAGCGACGTGGTGCCAAAAAACTGTTCAACGTAAAGAAAGTAGCACTTACGGTAGTGTCAAGGTCTGTGTACTCTGACGTCACTGGTCTGGCGTGAGTAAGGAAGTTGCATAGAAAACTGTTAATATTCTAAGTACTTTGCATATAATCTGGTATCTTGTTTAAAATAAGCAAAGGTGTTGACGAAGAGGGCGGAGAAATTTAATTGTAGGAAGGGGGAGGAGCAGCTGGGGGTCTGAGGGAGGAGCCTACAGTCAGGGTGACGTCTGAGGGAGCATAAGACGGGTTAGTGTGCCGCTTGGGCTTATACCAAAAACATCCTTGGATTATTGTGCTTTAGTTTGTCACCTACAGCAAGTGCATCTTTCTGAAAGTATGGGGGTGGAAAATCAGGTAAATGATACTGTACGTATGCTTATTTTGTGTAGAGGTACCAAAAACTGAAGTCTTGATGCTTGGACTTGGCAAGTGACTTAGAAGGTAACTTTAATACTATTAGTATCTTGTATGTGAAATCTAGCTCCAATAATCTAGCCGATGTTTATGGGTCATATTATACATACTAATGTCAGGAGATAGTTGTATTACCACTCTTGAACCACCACCAGTTAGTAGAATTGTGTAATGTTTGCACAAATAAATCTTTGCCTGTTTTTTTTAAATATTCTGCTTTCTTCTCAGTTGTGCTTGTAACTGAAGGTGTGCAAGGTAAGTTAGTGTACCAGGTATGAGTAAGCTCCGTCCTGAAATCGGCTTATCGGTAGTCTTTCCTGTTTTTAGCTGTCGACCTAAATAGGCTTAAGACTTTATTATGGTAATTCTTGCAGTTTAAGAATGGACGTTCAAAAATAGATCGCCTTGGGTATGGTGCAAACAATAGGGTAACCTTAGGTTTTAAAACTGATTCACTTATTCTAGCCAGTATTCCAGGCACCCAGACACATTAGCTTGTTGTACCTTTGTGTAGAATAAAGGAAATTAGTTTATAAATTAAAAATTATCGGAGAACATGTACAGAGCACGTAGGAAGATACAGGTGGGCATATGCTGTAGTCGGTCCACCCTGACCTAGTTCACTAGTTACTATCACTTTCTCCATTGCAAAGTTGTTCCTTAGTTTATCTAACTGGCACCAGAATCTAGCAGGCTGTGTCATGACGGTTCTACTGCCCCCCCCCCCCTCGTTTTCCAGGGATGATAAAGGCTTCGCTGATAGCTATGCGCTGGTCTCGTAAGGGCCCTATTGACTGAAGGGAAATAATGAATTTCATGCCGCTTGTTTTTGTGGCAGTCTTGGCTGGCTGTTTTGTGCCATTGGCTGCTTTGGTAGGAAGTGTCCCCTCTGTAGTGGGTAACGTGGCAGCTTAATCCTTTTTTTTTTTTTTTTAATACTTTCGTGGCTGGGTTTCTAGTAGTAGGATTTACTTCCTAGTTCATCCATGCCCGGTAGATGCTGAAGGGCTACGCTTATCAGCATAAAGCAGTCATCTGCATAGGATTTTTTTTTTTCAGCTACCCTGTTGGACAGGCGGGCCCTAAGCTTATCCCGTTAATATTTTTTTCTTCCCACAGACAAACTATATAGTTTATCGCCCAAGGAAATATGAGCTTATTGAGGGTGATCGGTAAGGACTTTAATATTAAAACTGAACATTTATAAAGGCTAGAGGTGATTAAGGTTTAGCATGTGACTCAACAGGTTTCTTGTAGCTCATTAGTAGTAAAGCAGCACTGACGGCTAGTGCTTTACTTAATACTGTGCATGTGGGATATCTCATTGAGCCTTTACGATGGATTTGGTGTGCTATTTTACCAATCTGACTACGCCTGGTCGAGGTAAGTGGCCACTGTTATGGCTTTCATCTAGTCAACGTGAGGCTCACCTGGTTAAATGTGAAATGTGAATAGTGGTTAAACGTACGAACAAGGACTTGGGACATTATTAAAATGTCCATAATGTTCTAAGCGTTTGCTCATATCTTTATGGATATTATATACCGGAATCTCACCCTAAAGAAGGCCTTTCCTATTTAATGGCTTTCTTCCTCCCCATCCCCTATTTTTTTTATTTCATAAACTTTGATAAGTTTGAAATACTTGCTCGTACTAAAATTTAGCACCAGTGTCATTAGGTGTCAGTTACTCAGGTGGCTTAGCGAATGCCAGGACGTAGGTGGTGGAAATTGACACTTGCGCAAGTTTAGATTGTTTCAGCAGGAAGAGCTTTGTGTTTAGGATAACTGCAGCAAAAAGAGCTTGTGAGATTTGACATGAAAAGGGATGTCAAGAAAAAAGGGCTGGGGAGGGGGGGGGGAGATACGAATCTGGCTTTGAATGGCGTGCAAAAGGTGGCAGTGGCTATTATGAAACTCGCTCTGCTACATAAATTGTCTTCAAATTAGCACTTGCTCATTAGTCAGTGCTATGTAGTCACGTTTATACGCTCGTTTGAGTTTGGCGCGGATAAAAAAAGGCAATTGGTCTTATAAAGATCTTGTTAAATTCGCAGCCCCTCTTATCAATGGAGATCCAGAAAGAAAAGTATAGTGCTAGTTTTTGGCACTGTCCACTGCCAAAAAAAAAAAAAAAAACAAAAAAAAAAAAAACACCCCTAAAGGTTTCCCTGCATTAATTTTTTAGCTTGGTTTAAAAAGTTAATTAAAAAACACACTCAATGTTGTATTACTGTTCTCATACTTTTAGCCGGTCCTGTCTAAGTTATAGTGCCAGGTCGTGTTTTCTTTTTTACATACAGAAAATGGGCTAAAACTAAAATACATGGTAGTCATTAAATTTCATGGCCTTTCTGTTCGTCACTGGCACTTCACTGCCGTCACTTGGCACTAACCATAAATAGATGGTCATGAGTGCCAGCTTATGACTAAGGCGCAAACAAGTATATGAAGTAAATATTTACATTTCATTCTTTTCATATTAACAGTAGTCTTGCCGTTTTTAATTAAAAATCAATCTTGGTTTGATACCAACCCCGATGGTTTGTAAAATTTCTTGGCGTTTGTCATTGGATCATGACGTCAGTCAGAATTTACCGGTGGGTTCAGGTAGTTGGATGGCACTGGATACCTGTGGTGGGGATAAAGTTGGAAGAGGGGAGGGATTGGGAGGGTGATTTGGCTTGCTTAGGGTCAGTGCTGGGGGATGAGGCAGTGTGGACGGTTAGGTGTGGGGATCTTTTGGCTCTGCTCTTCAAGCATTGATAAACCTTCCACATATTGCGTACAGTGTATTAGTGTTATCACACAGTACTGTAAAACTTAGCGATACGTGGAGCATCTGTAAAAACTAGTAGGTATCTAAGGCCAGTGAGTTTCCTTGTTCCTTACAAAGTTTAGTTTTTCACATGCATAGCGGACATGTGCTGCTGCAGCAGCATACTTGGACCAAGATATTAGTTCCTGAAGTAACTTGTCATAACTTCTTTAACGAGTGAATAGAATTAGTGCTTTCAATTAGTACCGTACCAGAAGTCCTTTGACTTAAACTAAACGGCAAAATTACTACTGAAATCTTAATTTCGCTTAGTCATCCCTTCCCTCCGACAAATTTTTTTGAACTTAAAATATTTTAACCTTTAATGATTATTGTATTGACATTAAATGTTGGCATTTTGAAAGTTTTAATATGCAAGAAGTCTGAGTATGCCGCACACTATTCAGTTTTAATGTAGATGCTTGTCAAGGGTTACTTGACCTTTTAGACTTAAAATTTCAAGCTGAACATTAGTGCCTTGACAGTTATCCATATAGTGAATTAAGTTTATTAGTCTAAGATACTAAACCATGCCTGTTAAAATCCTACGCAACTGAGTATGATCGGAAAGATGTCTGGAAAGTACTGAACCCTCCGCCTAGTCTTCTCAATATGTGGGTGCGTGGAGGACCCTTCTGAAGTGGCCCAACCTGCATTTTGGAGGGCTTTTGTCTCCTGTAACTTTCCTGCTTTGACAACCTACATGTGCAAATTTGAGGATATTTAGTTTTTCTGGTCTGGTACTCTTGAATGGTTGATTTTTTGGTCCACTTGTTCTATCTATCTGTTGTTGTCCAGAGGGCTGAGGAAGGGTTGTTGAGGTGGTTCGGACATGTAGAGAGAATGGAGCGAAACAGAATGACTTCAAGAGTGTATCAGTCTGTAGTGGAAGGAAGGCGGGGTAGGGGTCGGCCTAGGAAAGGTTGAAGAGAGGGGGTAAAGGAGGTTTTGTGTGCGAGGGGCTTGGACTTCCAGCAGGTATGCATGAGCGTGTTTGATAGGAGTGAATGGAGACAAATGGTTTTTAATACTTGAAGTGCTGTTGGAGTGTGAGCAAAGTAACATTTATGAAGGGGTTCAGGGAAACCAGCAGGCCGGACTTGAGTCCTGGAGATGGGAAGTACAGTGCCTGCACTCTGAAGGAAGGGTGTTAATGTTGCAGTTTAAAAACTGTAGTGTAAAGCACCCTTCTGGCAAGACAGTGATGGAGTGAATGATGGTGAAAGTTTTTCTTTTTCGGGCCACCCTGCCTTGGTGGGAATCGGCCAGTGTGATAATAAAAAAAAAATAATAAAAATTGTTCTATCTAGGCTGGAATATTGCTGCACACTAACAGCACCTTTCAAGGCAGGTGAAATTGCTGACCTAGAAAATGTACAGAGAACCTTCACGGCACGCATAACGGAGATAAAACACCTCAATTACTGGGAGCGCTTGAGGTTCCTGAACCTGGATTCCCTGGAACGCAGGCGGGAGAGATGCATGATTATATACACCTGGAAAATCCTAGAGGGACTAGTACCGAACTTGCACACGAAAATCACTCGCTACGAAAGCAAAAGGCTTGGCAGACGATGCAACATCCCCCCAATGAAAAGCAGGGGTGTCACTAGCACGTTAAGAGACCATACAATAAGTGTCAGGGGCCCGAGACTGTTCAACTGCCTCCCAGCATACATAAGGGGGATTACCAACAGACCCCTGGCAGTCTTCAAGCTGGCACTGGACAAGCGCCTAAAGTCGGCTCCTGACCAGCCGGGCTGTGGCTCGTATGTTGGTTTGCGTGCAGCCAGCAGCAACAGCCTGGTTGATCAGGCTCTGATCCACCAGGAGGCCTGGTCACAGACCGGGCCACGGGGGCGTTGACCCCCGGAACTCTCCAGGTAATAAGTTCAGTTCGATGACTTTTAACTTGGTGCCCGCCTTAGACCAGGGAATAAAAAGTTCGACTCGGTGAAGTTTTAGCATTCAGACTTGAGGGGAAGGGGTGGGGTTCAGTTTCCTCGGTCTGTCTAGTAGACCATTCAAGGTCAGAGTTGGTTTTCGATAATAAGAGCTTCTCCCCCAGAGCAGTTTTATAGAGTAAGGTTTATAACCATGGAGTGGGCAGCATCAAATGGCTGTTTTTTTTTTTTTCTCACGTGCTACACTGTATGGCCCTTTCCTATGAGCAGGTGACATTTTTGGGGGGAATATTAGTCACCAGAGATGGGCCTAGTCTATGAAGCTAAAGTACTCTCAACCTGCACAAAGGAAAATTGAACTTAAGAAGGTTTGGATCAGTTTTGTGACCATTGACAGTAAAATGAAAGGTAGTGTAATTGTGGTATTGGTGGTTGGTTGGTTGTTGGTGGGTGGTGAGGGTGGTTGGTGGTGGTGACGACTACGACCAGTCAGTTGAGGTAATCTGAGACCCACGAGGGTAGGGCAGAAACTCTGGGGAAGATAACGCATGACAGAACCCACCTTGGCAGAAGAAAGGAAAAAAAAAAAAGTATAAAAATTCAGGTAGTGAAGAGTGTTCTGAAGATTGGAGAATTTGACAATGTAATAAGAAAGGAAGGCATCTACAGAAACAGGACTAGTAATAGCATAAGAGCATTAAGTGTCGGAAGGTAACATCTGTGCTTTTCTTTGTGGGTGGCCACTTTAATGTCTAAGAAACAGAAGTGAAGATTTAAGAGACTTAATCTAGGGAAGGCAAAGAACTTGACATCTCGCAGTAGTTTAAGAGAAGAAAGTTTAGCATGGAGAAGGCAGTTTATGAAATTTGATGGGCGAGAGAACGAACTGCTAAGAGTAGAAATTTCTAGTTTAGAATTAAGGGTCACAAATGCAGAGGCATGGTGAAAGAAGAAGAAAATCTTGACAGGGAGCATGGCAAAATAGTGATGTCCATGCCACTGTATTGGCTTGCGATAAACTAAAGAAAAGCTTGTAGCAGAGCAGTGAACATGTACCTCAAAGGAAGCGGTTAATTATCATACAGCCTTAATGGAAGGAGCAAGACTTTCAGCACAAAAGTTAGACTTGCTGTCTTGAATGCTCTTTTGTCATGTTAATAAATTCTCATTAACTGGTCCTGTCAACTCATTCAGACACAATCTTGTTGAAGCCTCCCTTACACACCTCATTTCTAATATGAATCTTAGTCCTGGCTTTCTCTGTAAATGCCTTCCCTTCTCATTACATTGTCAAATGCTCCAAACTTCAGAACACTTGATTTAACCTGATCTTTCTCACCTTACCTCTTGTATTTCCTTTGCCTTTCCTTCTGCCTAGGTGGGTTCTGTACAGTTTTCTCCCTGGGTTTTTGCCCTACCCTCGTGGATCATTAGTTCTACTGCAGTGCTTTTTTTTTCCTGTTCTTAAACCTATTACTACTTAGTCTTCAACGTACTACTTCCACCACTTCCTCATTCTATTACTGGCTCCCTTATCTTCACATATCTGTGCAACTCGTTAATGACCTAAGCTGTACCAAAACTGTTTCATTCGTGTGTGTTTGTGTGTGTCACAGTATACCTTTTTATTCTTTGCAATTTTATGCTGAAGTGTGACTAACAGATCTATTCCTCAAATAGCATTTCCATCCTGCACTTGCTAAACTATGTTCATTTAGGGATTTGTACTTGCCCTGTCAAAAACCTGTGATAGCTTTCCCTAGATTACCATCACGAGGAACTAGGCCTGTGGATTTAGCAGATGCTTGGCAACTTGTGCTACAGTCTTGATTGGGGGGGGGGACTCTTGCAAGGCTTCATGCCTTTCAGCTATGGGTTCAACTGGGTTATGGTTCTTCTGCTGTAAGAGGAATTGAATGGTGCCAAAGTTTCATAAGCAATAGATGGCAACCCCTAAATGTCAAGCAGTGATGACTGTCTAATTTCTTAGAATAATTTTCATGCTTCAGGTCAGAGGGTAGTGTTGGCTTTGATAAGATTGCCAATAAGGACTTGTGCAGTTAATTTTTTATATAGATATTCAATTCTCAAACTATTCTGCAAATTATCTGTAGGAAACTTTGCAATCGTTGGCAAAAGTGGTGGTCTGAGTTCGTCCATAATAAATTTGTCATCCCTGTTAGGGTTTGTCATCTTATTGCGTCTTGTTTGGAAGACTACTCTCCCATCTGTATTGGACACTGGACGTGTCTTGTTCATGGGCATCTTGTCAAGAAATGCTTAGCACTGCCCTGGATATTGCAAAACTGTTGTCAGTTCACCAACTTAATTGATTGCCATATGTCAGTGTGCACACACAATTTACTTACCACCCTAATACACTGGCTTTGACCTTTCCAACAACCTCCACCTTTGCAGACTTCATTTTTGACTGTCGACTGCTATATTACATAAACTTTATTTTAATGCTCACCATGTTGGTTTGTGTGCAGCCAGCAGTAACAGCCTGGATGATCAGGCTCTGATCCACGGGGAGGCCTGGTCAGACTGGGCCGCGGGGGCATTGACCCCCGGAACTCTCTCCAGGTAAACGACCCTTACTGACTCTGCCTCTTGCATACTTATAACCCCCACACTCCAGAGTCCTCTGTTCACTGTAGAGCTCCATGCCCTCCTTGCTGTTCTCGTCTAGATAGCTGGATTAATTGCTTGGCCCTTTTTCTTCTGTCCACCTTGTGGTCCAAAAGACTGAGATTTTAACAAGCGTCTGCAAGGCACAAGGATGGGGTTAGTTATGAGGTTTGAAATTTATTAATCTCTCCAATAATATTGAAACTTAGTATCCTTCCATATATTTTGCTATGTAAATCATTCAACCTCTAAAAGGTTTTTGATTTATGTACTTTAAAACCTTTTGAGAAAGTGCTTATGCAGTTTTTTTTTTCTTTAGACAGAAGTTGAGAGAGAGAGTGAAAAATCCTCAGTTCCATCTTTCTCTGAAGCTCTGCCAGATACCCCCGAAACCAGCTCGGCTCGCTCTGCCACACCCGAGGCACCTCTAGAATACTCTACCTCCAGCCCAAAAATGTTCAAATCTCCCATAAAAAAGACTGAATACCTCAATGGTAAGTAGTGCAGCAAGTTTGTTTATTCTACTAGTTTAAATGTATGGGTACAGTATTTTAATTAAATGTTGTTTAACATCAAAATGTACTGATTAGGTTTGTAAAGTGTAGGATTGTATTCAATAAGGTTCATTGAACCTGATAGATGGCTGAAAGAAGCATTAGCTATTTAAGTAGTATCCTGAATATTCTTGGGCATGTCACTTTACTTTAAACTGGGAATAAACATAATTAACATCTATTTTTGAACCCACATATGGTTTGTATTTTTGAAGACGGTTATGAAATTTTGTTGGGAATGTCTTTAGTTAATCAGGCCAGTATATTTCTTAGCTTGCCTGAGCAGAATAAGTATAGTGGCCTGCCCAGTAAAGGGATAACAACCAGTCCTATTGGGAAAATCCTTCTATACTTTGTGGTTTTCTTGGGGGCTTTCATCTGTTTAGTTTCAATGCTTTACTGTTCTTGTTGCATTACACACTGAAGTAGGTTAGAAAAAAAAATTGAAGATTTAGCGCTGTTGCGTATTAAATGGCTCATAAAACACTAGCCCATAGTTCTCTTTAAGAAGGCTGTGATGCTCTGGTATAATTTTGATATCAATGAACAGGAAGTGCATGGTGCATTCAGTTGTGTACACTCGGCCTTTTAGTACTTTTTGCACCAAGTTAATTATGGTATATTTTTTTTCCAGTACTTTTCTGATAAGTTTAGTGCAAGTTTGATAGCTGTTTAATCTTTCATGGCTGTGGTGACTGCACAATTTTCATATGGCAGATGCTGTACAAGGTATTTAATCTTGTCAGCTGTACCATGTTTTAGTATTTAAAAAGGTAGGGGACCTTATCTTAGTTGTCAATTAAGTAGACCGATGGTTGTTAGGTAAGACACATATGCAACAGTTAGGTATCTTTATTGTGAAACGTTTCGCCTACACAGTAGGCTTCTTCAGTCAAGTACAGAAAAGTTGATAGAAGCAGAAGATACTTGAAGACGATGTAATCAGTCCATCACCCTTAAAGTTTTGAGGTGGTCAGTCCCTCAGTCTGGAGAAGAGCATTGTTCCATAGTATGAAACAATATGGAGAAGATGTGACAGGATGGAGCTTTTAAGCGCCAAGAGTGAGACGTAGCCACTAGGAGAGGTAAGAACCTCAGATGTTGAGAAGGCAGTCCCTCTCAATCCAGCCTCTCTCACTGTGGAAGTTGTCGAAGTTGATTGCAGTCTGTACCAAGATACCCCTGTGTTGCAGTGTCTGACAGATTGAACATTAAAATGGTATAAAATACCGACAGGTTTGTTAGGTAAGACACATAGCAACAGTTAGGTATCTTTATTGTGAAACGTTTTCGCCTCACAGTAAGCTTCTTCTTCTACGTCTCACCTCTTGGCGCTATAAAAGCTCCATCCTGTCACATCTTCTCCATATTGTTTCATACTATGGAACAATGCTCTTCTCCAGACTGAGGGACTGACCACCTCAAAACTTTAAGGGTGATGGACTGATTACATCGTCTTCAAGTATCTTCTGCTTCTATCAACTTTTCTGTACTTGACTGAAGAAGCCTACTGTGTAGGCGAAACGTTTCACAATAAAGATACCTAACTGTTGCATATGTGTCTTACCTAACAACCTGTCGGTATTTTATACCATTTTAATGTTCAAGTAGACCGATCTGGAAAGATTTGGTAATTAGGTACAGCACTGCAATATTTGGTAGGCTTCTGCCTAATATTAGGAAAGCTGATTGCACTTTTAATAGTAAATGGTCATTTTTTAATTTTATTTAATTCTAAACTTTTTGTTTACTAGTTTCATTAAATCTGCTAAATTTTATAATTGGCATTCTTTTGGCTACTTTTTGTGTACACTAAATTTTGTAGTCCATAGTTTTCATCTGCTTTCCTTGTACTAGTCAGTGTACATTGACACTTGCTCAACTTTTCTCATAGCAGTACATCACATTTCTGGGAAGACAGCAGACTGCTTGTATGGTCTCTTAATTTGATGAGGGAAAAAAATGCTATAAAAATTTGATATGGCCAGTTTTCCACAGCATTTTCTTAAATTCAGATGAAATAATTTACAGAAAATTAAAAATTTCCTTTATACTGTGTTAATTGTTGTGTACCTAATGAAAGCTTTAAATTTCAGGACCAGATCAAATAATCCCAGCTGACTGCATTAAAACCTGGAAACCTAATGGTGTTACAAAGTTGAAGTTAGGTGAGCAGGGACCATCTGCACACCCCCCAGTGTCCGTGCCAACACTCTTGAAGAAAGCTGCTGAAAAGTAAGTACTTTTATAAAAGCTGTGGTGCATTTCTTTTGAACTTTTCCCCACAGTTTAGATGTTTTTTGTAGAAGTTATGCTTAGTTACTGGGATACCCATGAGGACTTTAGGGTTGTCAATTGAACCACTATTTTCTGAATTTTGTAAGTGAGGATTACTGGAATTTTATTTTTAGGATGAGAATGCCCTTGATACAGCAGAATTACTCTTATAAATCTAAGTACTTTTAAATGTTAAAATAAACTTCAAATTCACTGAATTTGTAAAAGCCATTTTAATATGTGCAGATCTTTTCTGCCACTCAAGGTGAGAAATTTTGCAGTTTCATCAAAGCCTGTTTGTCAGTAGACAAGAATGTGGATGTAATATACCTTACTAATTAGTAAATCTCAATGTGCCATAGTAACTTTAAATTCTTGATGCCACAGGTACCCTAACACACACGCTTTGTGTGTAAAGAGAAATGGAGAATGGAAGAACACCACCTACAGAGAATACTATGACCAAGTTCGCATCATGGCTAAAGCTTTTATTAAGCTCGGACTTGACCTGTACCATGGAGTGTGTATCCTTGGCTTCAATTCACCAGAATGGTTTATAGCAGACTTGGCAGCAGTATTTGCAGGGTAAGTCCCCTGTATAAAATCTAAACTTTATTTCTGCTGCCTGAAATAACTGATACTGGTAGTTGAGGAAAATTTAAATTTTATCTTGGTAAAGGGGATGGTGTTAGTCAAGGTTTGTTGCTCTCTACTTTTCCCTTAATTGGCTGCTTGGCCCCAAACACTGAACATAACAAGGGTTCTTAGACAACCATTTTTTCTTTAATGGTATAATTTCATTGTTCCATATTAGTCCTTTGCAAGAACTGCATATTACTTTCTTCCATGAAGTAAAAACTTTCTAATTTTCCTGAATAACATGAAAGCTGTAATGGTGGTAAAATTACTGACACGGGTGAATGGACATGAGGCAGCTTCTTTCTGCAGTAGTTCCTGGAGAGTGAAATATTACCACTAAAATGTGTTAGTTGCTCTTTTCCTTTTTACCTAACAGCTTGAATGATGCTGAAGGCATCATACCCCTTCCCATGCCTCCAGCATGGGAAGGGGTATGAATTGATGGTATATGGTATCACTGAAGATGGCAAATGGCAGCAGGAAAAGTACCAGATGCTGATCTCTTGAGGGGTGCATGTATTTCAGTTTGGGGCACCATTTGAACTGTGACATTACCATCTAACAAGATAGAAATTAAACCAAACATACCTTGGGAGATGGCCAGTATAGAAAGGATTAACTGATTTAAAAAAGAAAAAAAAAAGTTGACTGTGACAAGTATAATAGTCTCAAGAACTATTTATTGTTGCCATACTATTATTAATTTATTAACATGCTTCATGAGAATTAACTGCATATCCTCTTATGAATTTTGCAGTTAAATCTTAAATTATAGCCATGGTATACAGCAAACTTGACAACTATCCTTCCCTTCCTATCCTCACCACCTAATCCTCTGCTCTGTACCCATAAAAATTTTACAGGACTAATTATTTTTTTATTTTATCACACTGGCTGATTCCCACCAAGGCAGGGTGGCCCAAAAAAGAAAAACTTTCACCATCATTTACTCCATCACTCTTGCCAGAAGGGTGCTTTACACTACAGTTTTTAAACTGCAACATTAACACCCCTCCTTCAGAGTGCAGGCACTGTACTTCCCATTTCCAGGACTAGTCCGGCCTGCCGGTTTCCCTGAACCCCTTCATAAATGTTGCTTTGCTCACACTCCAACAGCACGTCAAGTATTAAAAACCATTTGTCTCCATTCACTCCTATCAAACACGCTCGTGCATGCCTGCTGGAAGTCCAAGCCCCTTGCACACAACCTCCTTTACCCCCTCCCTCCAACCTTTCCTAGGCCGACCCCTACCCCGCCTTCCTTCCACTACAGACTGATACTCTTGAAGTCACTGTTTCGCTCCATTCTCTCTACATGTCCGAACCACCTCAACAATCCTTCCTCAACCCTCTGGACAACAGTTTTGGTAATCCCGCGCCTCCTCCTAACTTCCAAACTACGAATTCTCTGCATTATATTCACACCACACATTGCCCTCAGACATGACATCTCCACTGCCTCCAGCCTTCTCCTCACTGCAACACTCCTCACCCATGCTTCACACCCATATAAGAGCGTTGGTAAAACTATACTCTCATACATTCCCCTCTTTGCCTCCAAGGACAAAGTTCTTTGTCTCCAGACTCCTAAGTGCACCACTCACCCTTTTCCCCTCAATTCTATGATTCGCCTCATCTTTCATAGACCCATCCGCTGACACGTCCACTCCCAAATATCTGAATATTCACCTCCTCCATACTCTTCCTCCAATCTGATATCCAATCTTTCATCACCTAATCTTTTTGTTATCCTCATAACCTTACTCTTTCCTGTATTCACTTTTAATTTTCTTTTGCACACCCTACCAAATTCATCCACCAATCTCTGCAACTTCTCTTCAGAATCTCCCAAGAGCACAGTGTCATCAGCAAAGAGCAGCTGTGACAACTTCCACTTAGTGTGATTCTTTATCTTTTAACTCCACGCCTCTTGCCAAGACCCTTGCATTTACTTCTCTTACAACCCCGTCTATAAATATATTAAACCATGGTGACATCACACATCCTTGTCTAAGGCCTACTTTTACTGGGAAATAATTTCCCCCTTTCCTACATCTCTAACTTGAGCCTCGCTATCCTCGTAAAAACTCTTCACCTGCAACATCTGCCACATTGCCCCCCAATCCACCCTGTCATATGCCTTTTCCAAATCCATAAATGCCACAAAGACCTCTTTAGCCTTATCTAAATACTGTTCACTTATGTTTCACTGTAAACACCTGGTCCACACAGCCCCTACCTTTCCTAAAGCCTCCTTGTTCATCTGCTATCCTATTCTCTGTCTTGCTCTTAATTCTTTCAATAATAGCTCTACCATACACTTTACCAGGTATACTCAACAGACTTATCCCCCTATAATTTTTGCACTCTTTTTGTCCCCTTTGCCTTTATACAAAGGAACTATGCATGCTCTCTGCCAATCCCTAGGTACCTTACCCTCTTCCATACATTTATTCAATAATTGCACCAACCACTCCAAAACTATATCCCCACCTGCTTTTAACATTTCTATCTTTATCCCATCAATCCCGGCTGCCTTACCCCCTTTCATTTTACCTACTGCCTCACGAATTTCCCCCACACTCGCAACTGGCTCTTCCTCACTCCTACAAGATGTTATTCCTCCTTGCCCTATACACGAAATCACAGCTTCCCTATCTTCATCAACATTTAACAATTACTCAAAATATTCCCTCCATCTTCCCAATACATCTAACTCTCCATTTAATAACTCTCCTCTCCTATTTTTAACTGACAAATCCATTTGTTCTCTATGCTTCCTTAACATGTTAATCTCACTCCAAAACTTTTTCTTATTTTCAACAAAATTTGTTGATAACATCTCACCCACTCTCTCATTTGCTCTTTTTACATTGCTTCACCACTCCCTTAACCTCTCTTTCTCCATGTACTCTTCCCTCCTTGCATCACTTCTACTTTGTAAAAACTTCTCATATGCTAACTTTTTCTCCCTTACTACTCTCTTCACATCATCATTCCACCAATCACTCCTCTTCCCTCCCGCACCCACTTTCCTGTAACCACAAACTTCTGCTGAACACTGTAACACTACATTTTTAAACCTACCCCATACCTCTTCGACCCCATTGCCTATGCTCTCATTAGCCCATCTATCCTCCAATAGCTGTTTATATCTTACCCTAACTGCCTCCTCTTTTAGTTTATAAACCTTCACCTCTCTCTTCCCTGAAGCTTCTATTCTAAATAACAAAAAAGGCACAATACCATGACTGGAACGATACACAAATAACCCGCATATAAAAGAGAAGCTTACGACGACGTTTCGGTCCGACTTGGACCATTGAGTCACCTTTTACTGTGTAGCTACAACTAGAAAGTGATCTGATATCTGTGGCCCCTCTATAAACATGTACATCCTGAAGTCTACTCAACAGTGTTTTATCTACCAATACATAATCAAACGAACTACTGTCATTTCGCCCTACATCATATCTTGTATACTTATTTATCCTCTTTTTCTTAAAATATGTATTACCTATAACTAAACCCCTTTCTATACAAAGTTCAATCAAAGGGCTCCCATTATCATTTACACCTGGCACCCCAAACTTACCTACCACACCCTCTCTAAAAGTTTCTCCTACTTTAACATTCAGGTCCCCTACCACAATTACTCTCATTTGGTTCAAAGGCTCCTATACATTCACTTAACATCTCCCAAAATCTCTCTCTCCTCTGCATTCCTCTCTTCTCCAGGTGCATACACACTTATTATGACCCACTTTTTGCATCCAACCTTTACTTTAATCACTACTAGCCCATTGCTCCCGGCATTTTAGTCTCCTCATACGACACGCATGGCTTACAGAGGAAAGATTCTTTTCCACTTCCCCATGGACAATAGAAGAAATAAAGAACAATAGCTATTTAGAAAAAGAAGAAAAACATAGATATATATAGATATATATATATAGATATATATATAGATATATATATATAGATATATATATATACTTGACGTGCTGTTGGAGTGTGAGCAAAGTAACATTTATGAAGGGATTCAGGGAAACCGGCAGGCCGGACTTGAGTCCTGGAGATGGGAAGTACAGTGCCTGCACTCTGAAGGAGGGGTGTTAATGTTGCAGTTTAAAAACTGTAGTGTAAAGCACCCTTCTGGCAAGACAGTGATGGAGTGAATGATGGTGAAAGTTTTTCTTTTTCGGGCCACCCTGCCTTGGTGGGAATCGGCCGGTGTGATAATAAAAAAAAAAAAAATAAAAGATATATATATAGATATATATATAGATAGATATATATATAGATAGATAAATATGCAAGATTACAGGCATGTCTTGCTACTTCTACTTACACTTAGGTCACACTACACATACATGTACACATTTATTTATACACACTCATCTGAGTTTTCTTTGATTTTATCTTAATAGTTCTTGGTCTTATTAATTTTCCTTTTATATCCATGGGGAAGTGGAATAAGAATCTTTCCTCCGTAAGCCATGCGTGTTGTAAAAGTCAACTAAAATGCCGGGAACAATGGGCTAGTAACCCCTTTTCCTGTAAAGATTACTAAAAAGAATAAGAAGAAGAAAATTGTCAAAGTGGGAAGTCCTGAATGTGCGTGGATGTTGTGCAGATGATAAGAAAGAGATGATTGTGGATGTTATGAATGAGAAGAAGCTGGATGTCCTGGCTTTAAGTGAAACAAAGCTGAAGGGGGTGGGAGAGTTCAGTGGAGAGGAATAAATGGGATTAGGTCAGGGTTTCAAATAGAGTTAGAGCTAAAGAAGGAGTAGCAATAATGTTGAAGGATAAGCTATGGCAGGAAAAGAGGGACTATAAATGTATTAATTCAAGGATTATGTGGAGTAAAATAAAGATTGGATGTGAAAAGTGGGTTATAATAAGCGTGTATGCACCTGGAAGAAGAGAGAAGTGTAGAGGAGAGAGAGAGATTTTGGGAAATGTTGAGTGAATGCGTGGGAGTTTTGAATCAAGTGTGAGAGTAATGGTGTTGGGGATTTTAATGCTAAAGTGGGTAAAAATGTTATGGAGGGAGTAGTAGGTAAATTTGGGGTGCCAGGGGTAAATGTAAATGGGGAGCCTTAATTGAGCTATGTGTAGAAAGAAATTTGGTAATAAGTAATTACATATTTTATGAAAAAGAGGATAAATAAATATACAAGGTATGATGTAGCACGTAATGAAAGTAGTTTATTAGATATGTATTGGTGGATAAAAGGTTGATGGGTATGGCTCCAGGATGTACATGTTTATAGAGGGGCAACTGATATATCGATCATTATTTAGTTGTAGCTACAGTTAGAGTAAGAGTAGATGGGAAAAGAGGAAGGTGGCAACAACAAGTAAGAGGGAGTGAAAAGTGTATAAACTAAGGGAGGAGGAAGTTCGGGTGAGATATAAGCGACTATTGGCAGAAAGGTGGGCTAGTGCAAAGATGAGTAGTGGGGGGGTTGAAGAGGGTTGGAATAGTTTTAAAAATGCAGTATTAGAATGTGGGGCAGAAGTTTGTGGTTATAGGAGGGTGGGGGCAGGAGGAAAGAGAGTGATTGGTGGAATGATGAAGTAAAGGGTGTGATAAAAGAGAAAAAGGTAGCTTATGAGAGGTTTTTACAAAGCAGAAGTGTTATAAGAAAGAGCAGAGTATATGGAGAGTAAAAGAAAGGTAAAGAGATGGTGAGAGAGTGCAAAAGGAGAGCAGATGATAGAGTGGGAGAGGCACTGTCAAGAAATTTTAATGAAAATAAGAAAAAAATTTTGGAGTGAGTTAAACAAGTTAAGAAAGCCTAGGAAAATATGGATTTGTCAGTTAAAAACAGAGTAGGGGAGTTAGTAGATGGGAGATGGAGGTATTGGGTAGATGGCGAGAATATTTTGAGGAACTTTTAAATGTTAAGGAAGAAACAGAGGCAGTAATTTCATGCACTGTCAGGGAGGTATACCATCTTTTAGGAGTGAAGAAGCAGAATGTAAAGTGGGGGGAGGTACGTGAGGCATTACGTAAAATGAAGGGGGTAAAGCAGCTGGAACTGATGGGATCATGACAGAAATGTTAAAAGCAGGGGGGGATATAGTGTTGGAGTGGTTGGTACTTTTGTTTTAATAAATGTATGAAAGAGGGGAAGGTACCTAGGGATTGGCAGAGAGCATGTATAGTCCCTTTATATAAAGGGAAAGGGGACAAAAGAGACTGTAAAAATTATAGAGGAATAAGCTTACTGAGTATACCAGGAAAAGTGTACGGTAGGGTTATAATTGAAAGAATTAGAGGTAAGACAGAATGTAGGATTGCGGATGAGCAAGGAGGTTTTAGAGTGGGTAGGGGATGTGTAGATCAGGTGTTTACATTGAAGCATATATGTGAACAGTATTTAGATAAAGATAGGGAAGTTTTTTTGCATTTATGGATTTAGAAAAGGCATATGATAGAGTGGATAGAGAGCAATGTGGCAGATGTTGCAAGTATATGGAATAGGTGGTAAGTTATTAAATGCTGTAAAGAGTTTTTATGAGGATAGTGAGGCTCAGGTTAGGGTGTGTAGAAGAGAGGGAGACTACTTCCCGGTAAAAGTAGGTCTTAGACAGGGATGTGTAATGTCACCATGGTTGTTTAATATATTTATAGATGGGTTGTAAAGGAAGTAAATGCTAGGGTGTTTGGGAGAGGGGTGGGATTAAATTATGGGGAATCAAATTCAAAATGGGAATTACACAGTTACTTTTTGCTGATGATACTGTGCTTATGGGAGATTCTAAAGAAAAATTGCAAAGGTTAGTGGATGAGTTTGGGAATGTGTGTAAAGGTAGAAAGTTGAAAGTGAACATAGAAAAGAGTAAGGTGATGAGGGGTCAAATGATTTAGATAAAGAAAAATTGGATATCAAATTGGGGAGGAGGAGTATGGAAGAAGTGAATGTTTTCAGATACTTTGGGAGTTGACGTGTCGGCGGATGGATTTATGAAGGATGAGGTTAATCATAGAATTGATGAGGGAAAAAAGGTGAGTGGTGCGTTGAGGTATATGTGGAGTCAAAAAACGTTATCTATGGAGGCAAAGAAGGGAATGTATGAAAGTATAGTAGTACCAACACTCTTATATGGGTGTGAAGCTTGGGTGGTAAATGCAGCAGCGAGGAGACGGTTGGAGGCAGCGGAGATGTCCTGTTTAAGGGCAATGTGTGGTGTAAATATTATGCAGAAAATTCGGAGTGTGGAAATTAGGAGAAGGTGTGGAGTTAATAAAAGTATTAGTCAGAGGGCAGAAGAGGGGTTGTTGAGGTGGTTTGGTCATTTAGAGAGAATGGATCACAGAAAGAATGACATGGAAAGCATATAAATCTATAGGGGAAGGAAGGCGGGGTAGGGGTCGTCCTCGAAAGGGTTGGAGAGAGGGGGTAAAGGAGGTTTTGTGGGTAAGGGGCTTGGACTTCCAGCAAGCGTGCGTGAGCGTGTTAGATAGGAGTGAATGGAGACGAATGGTACTTGGGACCTGACGATCTGTTGGAGTGTGAGCAGGGTAATATTTAGTGAAGGGAATTCGGGGAAACCGGTTATTTTCATATAGTCGGACTTGAGTCCTGGAAATGGGAAGTACAATGCCTGCACTTTAAAGGAGGGGTTTGGGATATTGGCAGTTTGGAGGGATATGTTGTGTATCTTTATATGTTTATGCTTCTAGACTGTTGTATTCTGAGCACCTCTGCAAAAACAGTGATAATGTGCGAGTGTGGTGAAAGTGTTGAATGATGATGAAAGTATTTTCTTTTTGGGGATTTTCTTTCTTTTTTGGGTCACCCTGCCTCGGTGGGAGACGGCCGACTTGTTGGAAAAAAAAAAAAAAAAAAAAAAAAGATATATAGATAGATGGATATAGATAGATGGATATATATAGATGGATATATATAGATGGATATATATAGATGGATATATATAGATGGATATATATAGATGGTATATATAGATGGATATATATAGATGGATATATATAGATGGATATATATAGATGGATATATATAGATGGATATATATAGATGGATATATATAGATGGATATATATAGATGGATATATATAGATGGAGATGGATGGATGGAGATGGATGGATGGAGATGGATGGATGGAGATGGATGGATGGAGATGGATGGAGATGGATGGAGATGGATGGAGATGGATGGAGATGGATGGAGATGGATGGAGATGGATGGAGATGGATGGAGATGGATGGAGATGGATGGAGATGGATGGAGATGGATGGAGATGGATGGAGATGGATGGAGATGGATGGAGATGGATGGAGATGGATGGAGATGGATGGAGATGGATGGAGATGGATGGAGATGGATGGAGATGGATGGAGATGGATGGAGATGGATGGAGATGGATGGAGATGGATGGAGATGGATGGAGATGGATGGAGATGGATGGAGATGGATGGAGATGGATATAGATGGATATAGATGGATATAGATGGATATAGATATAGATATAGATATAGATATAGATATAGATATAGATATAGATATAGATATAGATATGGATAGATATGGATAGATGGAGATAGATGGATATATATAGATGTATAATGTGTGTGTGTGCGCACATGTCTGAAGTGTGACCAAAGTGTAAGTAGGAGTAGCAAGATATCCCTGTTATCTAGCGTGTTTGAGACAGAAAAAGAAACCAGCAATCCTACCATCATGCAAAACAGTTAGGTTTGTTTCACAGTCATCTGGCAGGACGGTAGTACTTCCCTGGGTGGTTGCTGTCTACCAACCTACTACCTATGAATTAGTGTTCCTAATAATTTTAGAGGGTTTTGGGGGTTAATACCCCCTGTGTCCTGGTCTGTGGCAAGACCTCAGAGTAAGGGCCTGATCAGCCAGGATGTTAGATATATATATTCTAGTATCTACAGCATATTATTTTACCATTACAGCACTTTTGTAAAAGTTTTGAGTAATGCATTTTCAACATTGGGGTTATCTTTACTGTAGGGAGAATGTAACACTACAGAATTGACTTAATTCTATAGGACTGATTCCCTTTCTATCAAAGCTGAGGGACTGATAACCTCAAAATTCCCATTGTATAGGTGACTATTTTGGCCTGGAAGATACCAGTGTTGCACATGTCCTAGTTATGTCATTACATATTATCCACCCTTGTGGGCTTGTGCTTTAACATACTTAAAAAATTCCTTTGTCTACTGAAAATTTCTAAAAATATCACCTTACTTTTCAGTGGGTTTGCTGCAGGGATCTACACCACAAACACTCCTGAAGCATGTGAACACTGTGCTTTAAATTGTGAAGCACAAATTTGGGTTGTTGAAGATCAGAAACAGTTGGAGAAAGTATTGAAAATCAAGGGACGTCTTCCTTCACTAAAAGTAATAATCCAGTACACTGGTAAACCAACTGTAGATGGTGTTCTTAGTTGGGAGAGTGCAATGGCTTTGGGTAAACAGCAGTCTGATAATGAACTGGACTCCAGATTGCGGCGCATGGCGGTAAATCAAGCCTGCACTTTAATTTATACCTCGGGTACCACTGGTCCTCCCAAAGGTGTCATGCTAAGCCATGACAACCTAACATGGACTGCACATGCCAACTGTGTTAATGCTGATTTTAATCCTGGGAAGGAAATATTTCTAAGCTTCTTGCCACTCTCTCATGTTGCTGCACAAATGGCTGACCTTTATATTCCTATGTATGCAGGTGGTACATGTTACTTTGCATTGCCAGATGCCTTAAAAGGTAGCTTGGGTCAAACCCTGAAGGAAGTAAGGCCTACTAGGTTTTTGGGCGTTCCACGTGTGTGGGAGAAAATATACGAGAAGATGATGGAAGTTGGCCGCAAAACGACTGGAATAAAAAAATCTATTGCCACTTGGGCCAAGGCCATTGGATTAGAAGCCAATATGCGCAAGCAACGGCAGGATTTCTCTAAGCCATTTGGATATTCGGTAGCAAATGCAATAGTTTTTAAAAAGATTAAAGCAGTCTTGGGGCTCGACAGGTGTACACTTTACCTCTCTGGTGCTGCACCAATTGCCCCAGAGATCTTGCGATACTTCCATAGCCTAGATATTCCACTTACAGAAATCTATGGTATGTCAGAATCTACTGGGCCCCATACTATAGGCATGGAAAAAGCCTTCAAAGTTGGTAGTGCTGGGCTGACCATCCCTGGTTGCTACACAAAAATAGATAAACCAGATGAAGAAGGCAATGGTGAGGTGTGCATGGGTGGTCGTCACGTGTCTATGGGTTACCTGAGAATGGAAGAAAAGACAAATGAGGCTATTGATGGGGAAGGTTGGCTCCATACTGGTGATATTGGCAGGGTAGACAGTGATGGGTTCCTGTTCATTACTGGCCGTATCAAGGAACTAATAATCACAGCAGGTGGTGAAAATATAGCTCCAGTTCTTATTGAAGACAACTTGAAAGCTGAATTGCCTTGTATAAGCAATGCTATGCTAATTGGAGACAGAAGGAAGTTCCTCTCCGTCCTTCTAACATTAAAGGTGGGTATTAGTAAGAATTAGTGGGATTTCTAATCCATGTGGTAGCTGCATTTAGTTGTGTAAAGTGAATGTGGGTTGGCAGGCTGGGTGGGGAGGATTAAATTTCAGACGACTCCCGTATTGTCTGCTCTCCAGAGGACAAGGTCCACAACAGTTTTGAGCTTTGGAAAGACTGGTGACACTGGGCTGCATCTGTAACACCATTGCCAGGCTGTAGCATTCCTATGGATGTTACCGAGGAGGTAGCTCCATAGATTTTATTTGGCTCTATTCTCTCCTGCACTGGAACTGTTGGGTCATTATACACCATATTGAAAGTCCTTCAAGACTGCCCAACAGATTATTTGCAGATTTAACCTTTTGAGAAGTGTTACAAATTTAGAGAATTATTGCCCTCCCTGGGTTCCAAGTTTGCATTTTATGCATATGCCTTTCTCTTCACTTCCAGTGCAGTTGCCAAGAGTGGTGGTGGTATCTTTGTAAACACTGCTATTGGTCAGGTTTATCTTGTGTTCCTCCCTGCAGGCTGCCTTCACAAAGTGAGGTTGTAGGTGAACCAGGCTCTGCTCCTCATACCTCCCTTCAGTTTGAGTTTTAAAACTGCTCTGCTTTTGTTGACCATGTCTTTCCCCTGGGTCACTTCAATTCCCTTCACCCTGTGGAGTGTAGGCAGACTGCTTGTAGCAGCACATTAATAAGCTAGTTGCTACTACAAACTGCAACATGCATAGTTTCAAACTCTCAGTGCTCTATCAACCCATAGCATATTTATGCCTGCGTGGTTTAACTGTTCAGTGCAAAAGTTTAATTTGTTGTACA